CAACTCCCAGAATTCCCCAGCCAGCATGGTTGGCTGGGGAATTCTGGGAGTTGAAGTCCACTCATCTTAAAGTAGCCAAGTTTGGACAACACTGTAGTAAGCCCACTAGTAAACCTATACATTTTGTGTGCCTTCATTTGGTGATAGGGTCCCAAGACAGAACTGGGATTCTGCTGGAAGACCATTCATCCATTCCATCGTCTCTCTGTTCATAGAATGGGGGCAGCAACATGAAGACAGCAGCCTAACTGAGGGTGCAAAGGGCTGTCTACATGTCACATCTTTTTCTTCCAATACCTTGCAACTACCACATCTGTGGTATGACTGTCCCATTATACCTAATGATAAGACTAAGCCATAATGACTATGTAGTAATGAGTCTAATGAGAAAAAAGAGAGAAGTCAGCAAGCTCATAGGACATCAACTGTTTGCTGAATTAAGGTGTGTGTTTTTTTTTTTAGATCAGCCCAATGAGGCTTAAATATGAGCCGTTGCCACTGAGTGCCCCTGAAGTGTAAAAATAGAAAACTGGCTGGATGGTACAATATTTTCCTACTGTGAAACAGAACATTTCCAAGTCTCAGAATCATCCGATAATAGCAATAATTTTAGCTGAAAATAAGCATGGAGAGCATGCTAAGCCACAGTTGCTTAAGCATGGTTTATTGAGTGCACCTCAACTGGTGTACTCTTTTTTTTTTTTTTTTTTTTTTGCAGACACCGTTACAAGGGCTAGGGGATCCACTAAACTTTATAACCCAAAAAAAAGAAAGCCATATTTGGGGCTGGTGTTATGCAAACCAACCTAAGACAGCATTCCAACTAGAAATGGCCACAGGTTTTGGAATCAAAGAAGGACAGAAATAAACTCCTCCTGCTATGGAACACCCTGCATTTTTAAAAGCTCTTTGGCTGGAAGAAGCAACTCTACTCCACACTTCCTTCTCTCTTGTCTGAAAGGCATAATGGTGGATAATGTCCATGAGATCACAAGAAATGGAAGGTACCTTCTGGCTGCTTCCTCTCTCCCAGTTTCTTTGGGGGACATGGCAACTGGACTATACCCCCCAGGCTGGCTTAAAGAGACCACATACAAACTAGAGATAGCAGTAACTACAAAGAAACATCACCTACCCTTGCTTTCTGTCTTTGGAAGCATGTTATACACTGGACTGGGTCTTGCTAACTATCCTGAAGAAACAGGAAAGCTGTGTTGACCATTCACGGAGCTATTAGGACTACATAGCACTTCAGCTTTGAGATTCACTAGGTGTTTTGGACCACATAGCAGCACAACTATGGCACCTGTTCTTTTTCCTGCATGCTCCAAAACGTCTTTGAAGAGTAAAGGGCTGTGCAGCTCTGATAGCTATCTTTGCACAAGAGGCTTATCCCAGACAGTCACTGAATCAATTGCAGCTCCTCCCAGTTGGATCTGGCAGCACACAACCAGCTCCATATTCACTGTTTGGGGGAATATAGTTCCCAAAAGCCAATTCTCCAGGGCCCTGGCAGTCAAAGCTTGGGCACTGCAGGTAATCAACATTTGGGAGCTATGTTTTGTGACTATCAGACTTTTGCAGTGAGTTTCATAGTGCAGCTTCTTGCACTTTCATCCTACTTACCCCTCACTGGAGGAATGATAGTGTAAAACTACCATCTCAAACAGGTTTCTGGATTTACATTACACAGCTGGCCAAGATCATTGCTTTGACTGAATACTGACTCAGCTTAATCTGGGGTTAGAATGATCCTTCTTCTGACCTTTAATTTGGCAGGTTCGTGGGTTCCCACAACATGCTGTACCTAAAAGGGGCTTAGTTAAGCATATGAACCCATCTCTCCTTCCTCAGTCAACCATGCCTACAGCACAGGAGAGGGCAGCTATTATGCCATGGCCATTTTCTTTAAATACTCCCAACCACGGGCTTCCAGAGGAAGAAATGGTGGACTGAAGACAGCTCCACAAAAGGTGGATGACCACGGCAAAGAACGAAGAGCCGGTAGACCAGTTTTTCGAACCTCTCTGGACAAAGGGAGTATGGGTGATCACTCACAAGTGCTCCAGACAGTTGCTCTTTGTGAGGAGACTGCAAGATACCAGTCTCCAGTGGGTTTTGAGCACTGGGAGACGAGGGAATAGCCATCTTGCTCAAACCACACTCGGCACCTTTAAAAGGACACTAAGTTTGCATACTTCCTTTTCTAATCACATTCAGAAATTGCTTATTAACTACTTTTCAGCTATTAGAAATCTTTGGAGTGACAAGTTTGAAAACATCGGGTGAGTCTGCCTTCAATCCTTAATGAAAGAAAATTTTAGTTACAAGCTTAAGAACTTAATTTTTAAAAAAAAAACAGCAAAAGGTTGATTAAAACTTTGGTTTTAGAAAGCAACAAGCAGACTAAGGGTCCAGATAAATTTGAAATAAGATTTTGAAATTAATTTTACAGAATCCTTCCCATGGGAAAATGCTTTTGTTTTGAATTAAAAAAAAAACATAAGATTCTAAAAATTGGATGCTAGAGGGAACTAAATATTTCTGTTAAAGGAGAAGAACACATAAACTTGACTAACAGTTACAAAATGGTGCAAAATATTCTAACACTGGAAATATTGAAGGATACTTTCGAAAAATGAAGTCAGAAATTAATATTAACAGTGTCAACAGCAATATCTGCCTCTATGGATAGACTGTGTCCAAAACATGTTATGGAAGTGGAACAAGTTTTACTTGACAAGACTGAGACTGAGTTGAAAGTGGATTTACAAAATGACAGGCTACAAGAATGACATGGAAAAAGTTGTTACACTGGATATACAAAAGAAACTGGCTGGTGTTTTAATAATTAAAAGGGACATACAAACAATAAACCAAGAAAATGATGTGGATAATTTTCTATATTGGATTTACAAAAGAGACTTGTTAAAGCTTTTCAGAATCTGGTGAGAAGGGACAAAGAAGAAATGAAAAGAAATCAAATTCTACATTATTTGAATGGACTAAAGATTAAGATTGCTAGAAGTAAAAGGAAGGAATATAAAGTT